CACTTGTCACTTGTGCTGAAGACAAGAGTCTTGTTTCTTCAGTGCTAGGAGGAGAGCAGTTGGATTAGAACCAGTCCATTAGGGTGTCTCGTGTTACAAACAACACCCAGTAATTCTGTGCACAGAGCTATGCTGTCTGCTGTTCACACAGTAATGCTCTCCCCCTCCAGTGTAGCATAACCTTTATCTAATTCACTTTTACACACCAATTTCTACAAAATTCGAGAATTTTTATTATCCTTTCCATCTCCATTTACATTTATTCTGAGTATAGTTTGTGGTCTTTAGGCCCATAAATTTATATTTATATATATAATATATAAATATATATTTATATTTTTGCACTTGGAGGGTCAAACTCAGGGCCTTGTGCTTGCTAGGCAGACACTGTGCCGCTGAGCTGCATCCTGTGTGTGCATATATTACACTGCCATTAAAACAGTCCTTTCAAAATTCAGCTTATATTTGCATATTAGTTTGAATAAATTACTTTCTACTGGAGATTCTTCACATAGTTGAGTGAAAAGAAGATAAAGTGGACCATGTGACTATAACAATTCTCCCCCAAATGATACATTAATTAGCTATAAACTAAATGTAAGCACGTAAGTGAATTCTTTAATGACCACCTTGCTCTCCAGTTTGTAAATCTGAATGATTCTGAATCACTTATATGGTCATAATGAGGCTCCTATAAAAAGAAACCCAGCGCCTTCTCTACGAGGCTTAGTATTCCTCACATTCTCACAAGTTTCATATCCATGAATATTATATACCTATTATCTACCTATATTTTGAATCTGTCCATTTATAAAATATTTCCGATTTTTGGATTATCATATTCATACATAAAAAGAGTGTTCAGGTGCGAGATCTGCCATGAATTCTTCTCTGACTGCTTCAGATCAAATTCATTATTTTCCGATAGTCAGGATTTCTCTGATTATGTAATTGCTGCTCTGCCCACAGTGGGACCTAGTGGTCCCTTTATGCGTTTGCCTGGCTTCTTCTCCAACCACAGTGTAGGTCTCAGGTGGCCTGCTTCCTCCTTTGAAGTTTCTGTATTTCCGTGTCTACTCAAGAGTGGATGTGTACATGTGCGAAAAATTATTGAGCAGAACGCTTAACTCTGTTTCCTAAAATATTTGCTCTACTGCTGCTCTTGTTGATGTGAAAAGCAAACTTGCATCCACGGACAAAGTTTCATTGCTACAGCCAGGCCGATCACAAGTCAAAGCAGCCGGTCTTCTAGGTTCTGTTTATTCTATTTGAACCTCGTCCTTTGGTCTGATCATCAAATAGTCATGAATTCAAAATCCTGGGTGACATCTAAAAGTTCAGCATAGATGGGTAATAATATAGGCTCGGTTGCTATTCTTCTTTCCTGACAGAATTTAAGATATTTGAAAACCGAAAATATTTCATTTATTGTAGGGAATAGTTTCATTTGTTAACCTTTTTGCACATACAGATTAGAATTAATAAGGAAGATGTCATTGTGTCCTCATTTAATTACAGAAAGGTAGTTATTTATGTATTTATTCTTGCAAGAAGAGAACAAAGTTAGTTATTTTTGAGAACATGAATGTCAATGGTCCAATTGTGGGGGCGCATACTGTCATCCCAGCACTTGGGAGGCTGAGGCAGGAGAGTGACTGTGAGTTCAAGGCCAACTTAGGCTACACAGTGAATTGAGGGCCAGCCTGGTCTATATAGTAAGATCCTATCACAAAAATAAATACATAAAAAATTAAAATGTCAGTGAGAAGATGTCAAAATTTAATTTCAAAAAATGCCATGAAGTTAGCAGAATTAGACAGTGTTATAACATGAAACAGAAATTACTTAAAATACAAGACAAATTTTTAAAATCTGGGTCAAAACTTCAATCCTAGATTTGAAGAAGTTGAGGCTACTGCTATACTATAAATGCAAGGATAAATGCTTCATTTAAACAAGTGATTGCAAATGTAGACATTGACAAAAATAATGGTGAAATTACAAAGCAAGTGTGGAAGGCAGGTATGAGTCAGGACAGAAGAAAGAGATGGGTCTCAGGTAAACAGAAAAAGTGTGAGAGAGGATTATTTAATGAAGAACAAAAACATATGCAAAAATAAAACCATACATTTTCCTTTTATAAATCCAATAATAAATTACAATAAATCTTTCTTTTCAGTGCATTACAAATGTGGCATGAGGATAAGAGGCTACAGATAAATACAAGAAGGGCCGGTTCTCATAAGACAGTTAATGAGATGCTGAATAATGATGAAGAGAGACAGAGAGACGAAGGATGAGTTGCATGTTAGGAGTTATTCCAAGGTCTTTGTACATTCCATACAATCAATTTTTTCCTGAAATTCTTTTGAAATGATAGCAATTATTTTTGCCATTTTTTCAGCCAAGGTACTAGGAGACCTTTCAATCACTCTGTCTATCGCAACACGGACTAAGACGGTAAGAGAAACGAGAGAAAAGCAGTTGACAGTGTTGATGCACATGCAGTGGCTGCATTTTGTGCAGAAGCTTTCTGGCAAGGGAGTGTTCTGCACTGCAAAGCACCAGGAATTCATTTGGGAATTATTTAGAGTATCGAAAGCTGTGTGTCTCTTGTGAGTTCTTCATTCAGCTGATGAAAGTTTACATGGCATTTAAAATCTGAGACTTAAAAGTGCTGTTATTCTGAATTTAAAATTTGACTGGTTGAAGAAAAAGTAGACTATGGACTTTGAAAATACTTATTTCTACCTTTGTACATTGAAAACACATAAGGAGAACTTAAAAAGGGTCACTCATAACTACACAAACTTTAGGGTTCCCTCCAGCTGGTCAGCCTACCTTTCCGTCCTCATACTGTCTTCACGCTGTAACGCTGAGTTCTTCTAATTTTATATTTTCTAAACACAAGGAAAAAAATGGAAGCAAAGCATTTACACACAGGGAGAGGAAGGAGCTTGAGGGACGGACAGAATGGGAAAAAAAGAGGCAGGATGTACACTGTCTGGGTGCAAATTCCCTGCAAAAAGTGCCGTCATTATGCATGCCTAAAATGTCCCAGTGCACATCTTATATAAAATAATAAATAGAGGATGGGATGGAGAAATACAATCTACATTTTCTAGAAAAACATTTTGTTGCTAAGAACTTTTTGGAGAGCTTCTTTCACGTCCTTGTTCCTCAGGCTGTAGATCAGAGGATTCAGCATGGGAATCACAACAGTGTAGAAGACGGTGGTCACCTTGTCAACATCCAGATTTTCATCGGAAGTGGGCTGACAGTAGATGGAGAGGATTGTTCCATGGAAGACAGTGATGGCCGTGAGGTGGGAGGCACAGGTGGAAAATGCTTTGCGCCTTCCCTCAGCCGAGTGCATCCTCAGGATGGAGATGAGAATGAAGGAGTAGGAGGTGAGGATGATCACTATGGTAAAAACCTCATTGAAATTTACCACAGTGAACAGCAGAAGCTCATTCACAGTCACATCGGAGCAAGCAAGAGTTAGGAGAGGGGGCAGAGGTCACAGAAGAAGTGGTTGATCACATTGGATTTATAGAATGGGATCCCAAAGGCTAAGCACAGGTGAATCAGAGCACACACAGAAGCATAGAGGTAGCAGCAAGTAACCAGCACCACACAGGGCTTCTGGGACATGATGACTGTGTACAGCAGAGGGTGACAGATGGCCACAAAGTGGTCATAGGCCATCACGGCCAGTAAGAAGACATCAGAGATTGCATATGCACAAAATAAATAAAACTGCACCATGCATCCCAGAGAAGAAATGCTATGGTCGTTGCTTAAGACACTGGAGAGCATCTTTGGCACGATGACTGAGGAGTAGCAGAAATCTACGAAGGACAGGTGGCTGAGGAAGAAGTACATGGGGGTGTGGGGTCGGGGACTGACCTGGATCAGTGCCGTCATGCCCAGGTTGGCCAATATGGTGACCAAATAGATGAGAAGGAACAGGAGAGAGAGGAAGAGTCTCAACTCAGGGATATCAGAGAGGCCCAGGAGGATGAACTCAGTGACCACGGTGCAGTTTGCTGCCACCATTTTTATTCAAGTCAGCAAAATCCAGTGAGAAACGCTTTGTTGCTTCTATGAAGAAAAAACAGCAAAAAAAAAAAAAATGAAAGTAAGAAAGAAGAAAACAGGCTTATTTTAAATTCAGGAAAAAATAAAATCAATTTCAAACATATATAGGCATCGACTGCATCAGAAGCACAATTGGTAGATTTTGTAAGATGGCCAAACTTTGTCAGACTAACTCAAACATGCCAGTGGGTCCTACTGGAGAAAATTAACTCACGCATCAGCAATACCCTTAAATGAGTCCCATTCATTGACCTCGAAGGAGGTAGCTAATGAATTAGGAGACATGGTGGGCTTTGGCAACACATAATGAGTCCTTGAATGGTACATGGAATTTAATTTCTAGTCATTAAAAATGTTACTTGGTCATAACCAAAGAGTGTGCCAGCCGTGTGACTACAAATAATACTTCCTATGTTGCTGCTGTTGCTCTAGCATTTTTTGGAGGATAGATTGGCAGCACACCATTCTCTACAATGCCATTAATGGGGACTGTGAAAAATTTCTTTGAATTTATGGACTCATGAAGACTCTGTGTTTGTAATTATTCATAACAGGAAAAGAGGATGTAAACCTACACTGACATCTGTAATTGTTTTCATCCATCAACTCAACATATTTATTTGATGCACTTTAACGGAAATTAAAAAGACCTACAAGGATGGAGGAATAGGAACATTTGTATGCAGTTGGGAAAATGAATTAAGCAACAGGTGTTCAGAGTCTTAATACCATAACAATATAAATTATTTTTACTTGGAGATTTTTATTAGTAATACAGCACGATGACTCTGAGTGCATTCTGTAAATATGAAGACCTGTGTTCAGGGATTTAGTATTGATTCTGATTATCACAGTAGAACAATCTCAGTTAAATGTGGAAGAATTCTTAACCCATGCTTCATCCTACTTAGGGTAGAATATCGCATTCAGGTGATGATCTCGAAATGATTATTTTGCAAAAAGGATACAAGTAGGACAGAGGGTGGTACAGGAAGTTGTAAATGAGAAAGGGTATGAAGATGTGGGAAGACATAAATATATTAAATGTCAGCAACTTGATTTAGCTACAGTCCTGACCCAGAGATACTTTCTCCATATTTTATGAAAGTGATAATTCACATGGTTCTACGATCTGCCAAAGACAGATCTGATAACCCAGGAAAATAAACTGTGTCCCGATGGTACAGTTCCCCTCCAGTACTTCCAGCACCCCTCAGGTTAGCCAAAACAATTGAAAATTTATGTACTGCACATAAATAGAGAACACCATCCAGGCATTTCTTCTAAAGAAGAGAACCAATAGAAACTAGAGATGCCAGAGCACCAGCGTACACATTGCTACTCCCAGCAAATGGGAGGTTGAAGTGGGTGCTGAGAGTTTGTGCCAACCTTCCCTAGAGAGGAAGATCAAAAGTGGTCTACTATGTGGTGAGACCCTGTCTCAGAACAAAGCAAAATGAAAATTCACAACTTTAACTCTTGCCCTCCTTCTGTGCTGCAGGAAGCGAAGACACATGACCTGATTAACACTCTGCAAGGAAGCCTGAGTGAAGACCATGTGCACCAGAAACACGGCCTGGGGTTTTCCCCATATCCGTAACTACTTAAAGAAAAGGAAAGCTTTATTTACAGCTATAATTTTTCACACCCCTAATGGTATAATTGACAATGTGTATTGGGAAGAAAGGGACTAAAGGTGTAGGGGAAGTGGGAAGGGTAGGGGAAAGGAAAAAAGGCAAAAGAAAAAAAATATGAGAAAATGAAAAATGGAAATAAAGATTTTGTTACTAGGAAAGGGAAGAGGGGGTGAAGGGAGGGAAGGGG